GGGGGGGGGGGGGGGTAGAAGAGATATTCAGGACGCAAGAAACAATGTTTTTGGTGTGCTCGAGTCAGGGGACCCCCCGCAGACAAAGGCTTGATCCGGTCCTACCCAGCGTGCAACACAACAAGAAACGCGTCAGGAAATACTATTGGGCTGGCGACGGGTGCTTGCTCACGTCGGGTCAACACGAAGCGTTCACTGCTGTTGAGTGGCATGGTGGCAGGTAGGCAGGCTGCGGGGGCGGGGAAGGGACAACAGATATATTTTGAGGTTACGAAGGCGCTCACGGGTGGGGGTCAATACCAACTCCTTCACGGCCGTTCCCAGTCTGCCATCCACACTAAACGTGGAGCCCCTATCGCAACAAAGGGGTGTGGTTACGAAAGACTCAAGCAATACGCCTTACACCCAGGACACGCCAAATGCGCCACGGATCGACACAGAGCCCATGTACCATCACCTCGTAGTACCCGTAGTAGACGAGAAACATTACCATTCCCCCCATGAAAACCATCTGAGCGGAAACGGACGCGACCGAAAGGGAGACGTAACGACGATCGCAGTGGGAAGAAAAACACTTCGTCACTGTGGGAACAAGCGCGGGAGGGGCATCCATGTCATGTCGGGGAGGGGGGAAAGCGTTGGTACTGCCAGTCGCTTGGGCTAGGCAGAAAGGTTTGCATTGATGGGAGACTTGTGATGCCATGGACCCGGGCGTGTACCTAGAATGGCAACAGCAAAAATACGTCATGAGAATGGATTGTGATATTCCTCCGGTTGTGACTCCGAAGGACGTGGTTACTTCTCCCTGCAGCGCGGGGCAGGGCCGCGCATGTGATTGTCGTGGAAAACACGAACCGCCAAACCACATGTAGTGTGTGCCGGTCCAGGTTCGCAAAACAAAGCGGGACGGGTTCGGCAAAACCGCCTCCGAAACCAGGACAAGAGCCTTGCGACCCTGGCCTGTCGCAACTTTGTCGAGCGAGATGGATACGTCGGAGTGGTTTTTCGCACTTGCTTGGACCTTTTCGTCCCTTTATTGCTTTCGAGTGTGGAACCACCAAGATCGACACCAATCGTTGTTGACGTCAGGTCGTGATGCTGAGGTCTCGCAGGAGCCCTTGGTAGAGTACAGCGGGGGGATCCCGGATGATGTGTTGGTGGGGAAGCTGATATGTACCCACTGATATTGGGCAGGCCGTCATATTCAACGCGTAGAACAACTTGATTATATCCCGTCTATGCCAGTCAATTTCACCCGCCTAATGCAGGCCGGACCGCCTAACGCAGACCGCCGTATTTCGGGACCCCCACTTCGTGGCGCTACAGGCCAACAGATCGGGAGCATACCGCAGGCAGACATTTAGTTGCTCAGGTGTTCTTCTGGTTCTGTTGCGTCGCGACTTTGAGTTCTCAGAAAATAGAGCGAGAAAAAGAATGGTGCTTTGGAGCTCTTGGAGGAAACATTTTGCACCCAAACGCCTCCGACCAACCGCAAATAGGTACTGTAAGCGGAACACGACTGCGGTGAAAGATGCATGACCTTCGCCTCCTCGGCACCAATCAAGCAGATGGCGACATTCCCCGAGAAGCAGGGAGGCAACGTTAATAACGCGATGCCGCGTACGTGCCTGATTAAGCGCATGGCGATCGAGGAATGACCACATAACGTTTCGCAAGTGTCCACGGACGGGCATGTGCGCGTTCGTGACATTGCGATTCTACAACGCCCACACCCGAACTCAACGCGGCAAGCCCCAACGAGGCTCATACCCGTCTGCTGAGGGCAGGAACAGTCGTGACGGGGTAGCTGCTCGCGCCGAAGGAGTTCGACTTGCATGCTTGCTGCGTGGTTTGGGCTGTGTGATGTGTGAACCTGAACCAGGCGTGCTTTTGTATGCTTGTGCACTTTTCTCTTTTCGGCGTTGTGAAGCCTTACCAGAAACCTGGGGTTCGTCTGATGTCCAATTTGCATACATTTTTTTTCCCTGCACAACCTTGCCAGTTCGGTAATCGAAGAAAAAACGCTACAAATAACGACAATTTTTGTGGAATGGAAATAGTGCGTTAAGCTTTAGTTTTGGAGTGAGGACGACGGAACATAACATTCCTTACGGTGCTAATATCTGCCGTAAATAGAAAAAGGAAATCCCAGATACCATTTTTTTTGCCTGATTGCCGGGATTTGGGGGTCTGAATTCCAGTCGAGATTTTTCGCTGGGATTTGGGTGTGGTACCATTTGGGAGGCGCTGATGCGCGCGCACGGCACCGAATGTACGTTTACACCGCGCCCGTTGCTCGTATTCTTGCTCGTTTGTGTACTACCGCTGCTCCGGCAGCTGTTTCGACCGCAGCAGGGCAGGCTCGAACGATCCCACCTTGCTGTCAAACTCTTGCAAATTTCTCTACTAGACCTGCCTGCGGTTCAGAGGGGTGAACACCTCCCCTGTTGCCACATACAATAGGCCCAACCCCACGCGACTGCAAGCACCTTCGGCAGGAACTTCACTGCTGCAAGTGCGGTATTAAGTGGCATCCGTGCCACACCCCTTTGTAATGGCACTCCTAATGGCACTCCCTTCACGGATCCCGCGACCTGCAATCAGAAATTTATCGCCCGAGCGACACCAGATAATACCCCCACAGAATAGGAACTCCCTGCCGTAGGTGATACTTATATTTATTCTGAAGGGGGGGGGCAGCAGACGAATTTTGATGTTGGCTACAATTTTTAAAAACAAACACCAGAAATTGGACAACAGACACACCAGACCAGCAGGAAGGCACCGAAAATTACAGAAATCGTTGAGTATCGCATAGGGCGGAAGTAGAGGCTGCTCAAAACGTACACTTCACGCGTCTACCTCCACACGCCTCCTTTGAAATCAAGATAAACATTCACGCTATTCTAAATTCGACTCAAAAGAGCCAAAACGGAAGGAGCTCAAACAAGGTCAATTTTGAGTGTTAAGTGTCGCATTCTTTTGTCATCAGTAGAGGACATCATGAAGAGGCGTCGTGCGTGCTGGCACGTTCAGGTTTGCTACTGGAGCTGACATATCAAAGGTCGCAGCAGCCTCGTAAAACAGTCCGAAATCTGCGCCGGAACCAAGCGGCATCCAACATTTGTCACAGCCGTCCTCGCTGCCATTGACCCCCATCTCCTGAAATGGGGTTTACAGCAGAAGCTGATGCCACTGATACCTGCTGCTGACGACCTCCGTTCAGGGTTTTACGGTCCATGGCGGTGAATACGGCTATGACAAAGGTTCAGGTTGGATGCCGCTTGGTTCCGGCGCAGATTTCGGACTGCTTTCAGAGGCTGCTGCGACCTTCGACATTCCAGCTCCAGTAGCAAACCCGAACGTGCCAGCACCCACGACGCCTCTTCATGATATCATCTACTGATGAAAATAGAATGCGACACCTAACCCTGGCGGGAAGGTTGTTTTCTTTCTTTGTATAGGATTAAGAGCCAGCGTTACAACCCCCCCTTCAGGCGAAGCGCGCTTGGTGATGTGAGAGCCTGGTCCGGTGAGAACCCGGCGTGCTTCGTCCCGGGTTTGTAGGAATGCGAAGTCAATGGTCTAACGACTACGGCATGCACGACTATGAGTACCCCCCACCCCCCACCCCACCCCCGGAGAAGTATGGGAAGGAAATACGAAGGTAGAGAAAGAACTCGAGGCGGCGTAGATGAAAGCAGCGAAAATCATCCTAGGATGCTCCAAGCGCACAAGCAATGCAGCCGTCAGGGCAGAATTGGGGATCCAATCCATACGGTCGGGAAGAGACGCGAGGAAGCTGACATGGCAGTATCGCATGTGCGGGATGGGAGAGGAGAGGTTGCCGAGATTTGTAAGAGAGGCTTAGTGGGCAAACCAAAAAATGGGTAGACAACCCACGAAATGGGTCAAGGTTGTAGAGGACGTATGGAAGGGGCTCGACATCGACGAAGATGAATCGCTGGAAACGGAGGGTCTAAAGGGTTTCAAGGAGAAGACATCTGTTGCTTGTGCCGATCGAGAACAGAATCTAAGGCCACTTGTTACGCTGTCTCTTTTTGGGCTGTCCCTTTTCTCAAAAAGGGACAAAGTTGCACAAAAAGGGACAGGATGGGGTGATCTTTTTTCGCTGTCCCTTTTCGGGAGGTTCAAAAGCGCAAAAAAAGACCACGTAACAAGTGGTTTTTGGTTAGTTGTCCCTTTTTGAGAAAAGGAACAGCCCAAAAAGAGACAGCGTAACAAGTGGCCTAAGGAAAGAATCCAAGGATAAGGAGGGTCTAGAAGTGTACGGAATGTTTAACGAAGGAATAGGGTTCAAGGATTACCTACATGGACCAAAGGATGCAGGAACAAAGCTTAAGGTCAAATTCAGGACCGGGGACACAGGCCTTCGAGAACGTCGACAAGACATGAGACGGTAGACGACGAAGACGACGACTTCAAATGTGACTGCAGTCGCGGAATGTCCGTGGTACAAGAAGGAGGAGGGAAGTGTACGTGACTGAGCTGGGAAAAATAGATGGGACGTACAGGGAGATGTTTGAGGCATGGAATAGAGAGAAAAGGACGGTAGCTGTATTGGGGCATAGGAGGTGGGTTGAAAAGGCGGGAAGGGATATCGTTAGGATAGACAGACTAGGGAAGACATTTTTGAGCCACCTTTGGCAAAGTAGAAGGAAGGATTGGCCATCGGCGATCGGTCCTGGGGGAACGATGCTCCGTCTTCTCGAGGACACGTGGTCAATGGTCTAACCGCTAAGGCATGCAAAACATAAGAGTACGCCTCCACCCCCTTGATGAACATGTAGCTTCAGTATACACGTACTGAATAGCCGCCGTTTGGGGCATGGTGCATGAGGCCATCATTGAGCCAAAAGCCGCAGTGCTGGTACGACTGCTGTTGTGTAGTGGCGCTAGCTCGCTGATAGCACGCATTGTCACGAATTCACATTTGGTCTGTGCGTATTGGAAATGGCTACAGTGCTTGATTTTTGTCGACACGCTCGACACCTCTTGATTTCAGTGTTCCGGTCCGCTTCTGCATGTCTGTCTTGCAGCAGATCACGAAGCAAACAACCGCGATCACCCATGTCCTTCAGATCACCACGCATGGGCTACTCAGATCGCCTATGCCCTTCACATCACCTCTGGCAACCATACCGTGCACAGAACACAAAGTGTTCTACACGTGCTGGTCACTCGTTTTACCAACGTGGTACAACTCTACTTACGTAGCAAACATACCGATCACCTGACTGAATCTCGCCACGGGCAAAAGTACCCCGCATCACGTACGGTATGTCTTTCAGATCAACTAGGACTACCCCAGTAAACGACACAACGTAACTGCATGCGCTAAATTAACTGCGTGCGACTCCCACACGCACAATGTTAGCGCGGACGGGAACCTATGCTGCAAGCAACATACAGATGGATTCGTTGTGTTTGGAAAGCAATATGCACATATCTAAGCTGCATCCCTCACCAGATGTGTGTAGCTGATGTCAGCCGATTGTTTCCTCCTGATGACCCGGGCAAGTTGAGGCGCATATGCGCAGGCCACTATCAAACCTCCGCATACGCCCATCAAGTTATAGGGCACATCGGACGTCATATTTCGATCGCCCTTCACGCCTTGGTAGTGGAAGAGGTATGCACAAGATCACGAGATACCTAGAGGCCATCAGGGTGTTTCCCACAAAGCCAAACCTGCCGCACCCCGCTCGATGCCAAGCGTGAACAGCTCGAAACGCCCGTCATTGGTCGAAAACGCACAGTCCCGAACGAACGAAGCAAAAAATGCCGATTTGGCACTGCACTCACGCATCAGCGTGCCTGGGCGGTGGGAGTGCATCTCATGCAGGCGTGATAGCTGATTGACAGTGGGTTCGTGCGCGTGTTAGCACATCTCTGATCGCTCTCGCCTTGACGGGTTGCCGTTCGTTGCGTACGCCCGCGAGAGCACACGGCAAAGAAAGGGGTGGACGGTGAAGACGCGTGTTCCTCGTCCTTGGCGCGACACTGCTTGCACGGACTCGGCGGCACGAGGAACAGCAGCAGGCGCGGGTAGAAGACCGGGGGGGAGGGCGAGGGAGATGGGGGTCACGGATAGTATCGTTGATGCAATAGGTTTCTCGGCAGGCTTTCTCGTGGCATCGTCTCTGCTACCGCAAATATGGCGAGCTCACAAACGAGGATCGGCGAAGGATTTGAGTTTCATATGGCAGGTGCGGTCTACATATACGTACGTCCACAGCCAGATGTGCTGTAATTGAGTACTGTGGCAGCAATCCCCGTGGGGGGCAGGGAAAAGAGTGCTACCGAAAAAATGACTGGAATAGTGCCTGCAGTAAGAAGGGTCGCCCAAGCTGTAAGAAAATAATAGCACACATGGGTAACATCCACCGGAGGTGCAGCGGTCTGTTGTACTGGTAATTCTCATCTAGCCGAAAGGGTGCATAGTTGACGCAGTACCGTAAAAGATTAACACCTGCTGGACGTTGTTGATGTCGTTGTTTTATGCGGTGTCATTGATGTTAAAATCCGATGTAGTGGCACCCGGAATAGTGAAATGCCCGATATCGTGGCATCGAAGCCTGTTGTCACATTCTCAACATGTACATGAACCCGACAACCCGATACATCGAACAGCACTGGCACTGCTCTGAATAGTGGCGTGTTTTGACCTTTGCCCCTGCATGCCACTATTTCGGGACCATGACTGTGGTGCAAGACTACAAGACTTAAATACAGATTTGTCCCTTCCCCAGAATGTCAAGATTTTTCCTTGGGCTGTAAGACTATGTACGTAACGTCAGTGCCGAACAATGTCAAGAAGCAAGTATGTACACACAACAGCATTTGTGTATGGGAACAGCTGCTCACCAGTAAGCAGGATCATCGTAGTTTACAGCAGTCGAGTCATGTCGTGGCGGTGTCAGCAGAGGTGCAGGGCAGTGCAGACCGCAGGCCGCCGAGCCTCGGGTTGGAGCCGACGGTCGCACAGACACATAAATCATCAAATAACAACAAATATTCATTTTGTCTTTCTCTGAAATTGCAGGAAATTGATTCCTCTCTCGGCGCACCGCAGTCCGCCATTTTTTCTTTTCACTTGGAAATTGACTGGCGGGTTTCCTCTCTCAGCGCACCACAGACCGGCATTTCCAGGTCCGCCCTCTCGTTCTTTGCTCTCCCTGTCACATGAAGAGCAATCGACCGAGGCCGTTGCCGCTGGCTTCGGTCCCTCTGCGCCCAGTGCTTTCGGGCTCGGAGTGCATTGCTCCAATCGGTCAATGCTCTACGGTCAGTTATCCCGTTTGGCGCAGCATTCTGCACCTCGCACACTCACTTCTTTTCTCTTTGTTTGCACTCATCGATCAGCAGTTATCCTCTCATATTCCGCAATCAACCATCATCCGTGCTGTCATCCACGCACGTCATCCACGCGATTCCGCGAGCAGAAATCACCCCATCCGCGTTCTGTGTACCTCTCTTTCCGTGTCCTTCTCTCTCTCGTTCTATCTCTACTTTTTCCGTCAAAATTCTTCTCTCTCTCATGTTTTCCAGCAGTAGTCACCTCAGTCGCTCGGTGACAATCTTCTGCAGCCATCATATATATCTCAGTGAAATCCATGTATGTGTTACGCACGCATGGCGGGGCTCCTCTCGAGGCGCACCCCAGGCCAGCATTTATTTCGAGGTCCGCCCGTTCTCTGCTCTCTCCCTCAAACCGACCGCTCTGTTGCCGTTGCCGCTGTCTTCGGCCCCTCTGCACCCAGTGCTTTCGGCTTTCGGGCTCTGAACTGCCAGTCAGTGCTCCACTCAGTCAGTGCTCCCGTTGGCGCTGCCTTCTGCACTTCGCACACTCCCTCTTTGTATGCACGCATCGATCAGTAGTCATCTCGCGCGCAACCCATGCTCCTCAATCAACGATCATCCATGCTGCAGTCATTCATCACGCGTTTCCGCGACCAGAGATCATTCCCCCCTCGCGTTCCGTGTCCCTCTCTCTCTCTCTCTCTTTCTCTCTCTCTCTCGTGAGATCTCTCTCTCTCTCTCTCTCTCTCTCTCTCTCGCTCTCTCTCTCTCTCTCTCTCTCTCTCTCTCGCTCTCTCTCTCTCTCTCTCTCTCTCTCTCTCTCTCTCTCTCTCTCTTATGTCTTACCGTTGTCACTTATCACCTGTTGATCAAGACTTGTACTTACATAGTCCACTTCAGTCGCTCGGTAACAATCTTGTCGTTGTATCAGCAAAGAGTGTTAGGCTGCAGTCACCCGCCGATTAAGCTCAGTCGAATCCATGTGTACGCACATACAGGAAGTGAAATCCATGTATGTGTACGCACTTTCTTCCCCTCGCTGCCTTGGCAAGGTTTTGCGTAGGCATGACCCATAGCGAGGGGGGG